CCAGCCCCTGAGGTCGAACATGAATGGAGGAATGACAAAAAAAAAAAAAAAAAAAAAAGAAAGAAAAGAAAGAACTAACATATACGCTAGATGTTTTACACATATTATTTCATTTAATCCATATAACCATCTTGCAAGTTCATTTTTTACAAATGCAAAAAAAGAGACCCATTAATTTATTAATGTTTAAAAACAGGCAAAATATCTGAACAGATACTTCACTAAAAAAGACATTTATTTGCCATATAGGTGGCAAACAAATATGTTAAAATAAACTCAGTATCACTAGTTATTAAGGAGATGTACATTCAAACCAGTGAAGGACCATCATGACCTATTCAGAATAACCAAGGCACTGGTTATCAAGAGTTGTTGAGGATAAGGAGCACATGGAACTCTGGACACTGCTGAGGGAACAGAAACTGCTGGTGGCAAAACAGCTGGGCAATTTATTTTAAAGATACACTTCCATTCTCAGGTGAAAAGTAATTTAGCGGCTCAGTGCCTGTGGCTTAAACAGCTAAGGCGCCAGCCACATACACCTGAGCTGGTGGGTTCAAATCCAGCCCAGGCCCACGAAACAACAATGACAGCTGCAACAAAAAAATAGCTGGGTGCCTGTAGTCCCAGCCACTTGGGAGGCAGAAGCAGGAGAATCACTTGAGCCCAGCAGTTGGAGGTTGCTGTGAGCTGTGATGCCACAGCACTCTACCCAGGGTGACAGCTTGAGGCTCAGTCTCAAAAAAGAAAAAAGAAAAGTAATTTGGCAAAGAAAACAAAAGGAAAGAAAAGAAAAATAGAGAAAATAAATTTAAAGCCACACTTCCATGTGACATCCAGCTATTCCACTCTTATGTATCTAACCAAGAGATAGTAAAGAGTATGTCCAAAGTTTTGTACATGTTCTAGTAGCTTTATTTGTTAACAGCCAAAAAATGGAAACAACCCAATGCACACCAACAGCTGAATGAATAAATTGTGATGTATCCATACAATGGAATACTCAGCAATGAAAAGAAAAAAGTTATTGAGTGGATGGACGACATGGATGGACCGCAAAATAATTATGCTGAGTAAAAGAAGCCAGACAAAAAAAGAAAATATATTATATGATTTCAAATAAAAGTCATATATAAGCCTGAGCCAGAGTGAGACCTCATCTCTAAAAATAGCCAGTGTTGTGGCAGGAGCCTGTCATCCCAGCTACTTTGGAGGCTGAGGCAAGAGAATTGCTGGAGCCCAAGAGTTTGAGGTTGCTGTGAGCTATGACACCAAGCACTCTACAGAGGGCGACAAAGTGAGAATATCTCAAAAAAAAAAATCATATGCAGACTAATCTACAATGACAAAACAAATTAGTGGTTCTCTGGAAATTGGGAAGGGGGAGAAGAGACAAGGAGGGCAGAATTGCAAAGGGGCTCAAGGAAATTTCTGAGCATGATGAGTATGTTCGTTAGCCTGATTGTGGTGAGGGTTTCACAGATGCATCCAAGTCAGAACGCGTCAAATTTGTACACTTTAAATATGTGCAGTATATTATACATTTTTCATACTAATTGGTAAAGATTTAAAGTTGATTAAACTTTGGAAAAGCCGTGGGGAAACACACTCTCAGACATTTCTGGTGAGAGTGTAAAAAGGTACAGCCTCTACTTGGCAATATTTATTAAATATTACAAATATATATACCCTATATGCCAGCAATTCCAATTTTAAGTATCTTATCTTTCAAATATACTCATAAGTTAGATGAAATGACACGAACAAGGTGTGTAATGACCAAAAATACAGGACTCTAAAGATCCATCGGTGGAGGACTGATTCATACAGTGGCATACCACGTGGGCAGCTAAAAAAGAATAAGGAAACTCTACATATAATAGGTAAAAAAAAACTCCCAGATGTACTTGTAGAAAAAACAAGGCACAGAAAAAAATTCTTATGAGATGCCATTTGTTTTTAAAAGGAAGAAAATAATATATTCACACACACGTATTATGTGTGCATAAAGTAGACTGCTGAAAGAAATACAGGTTAGTCGCATATGGGGAGAAGACTAGCAAGGAATAAATGAAATAAATTTCATTTTATGTATTTTCATTCCAAACCATACAAATGTACTGCTATTCAGAAATTTTAAGATAACCTTCCTTTCAGATAGTCTCGCAAGCCAGATCAGGAGAGGAACATTCTTAGAAAGTATTATTTTAGGCCCAGAGTGGTGGCTCACACCTGTAATCCTAGCACTCTGGGAAACCTAGGTGGGTGGATTGCCTGAGCTCAGGAGTTCAAGAGCAGCCTAAGCAAGAATTAGACCCTGACACTACTAAAAATAGAAAAATTAGCCAAGCATTAGGGCAGGTACCTCTAAGCCCCAGCTACTGGGGAGGCTGAGACAAGAGTATTGCCTGAGCCCAAGGTTTTAAGCTGCCGTTGAGCTATGATGCCACAGCACTCTGGCCTGGGCAACACAGGGACACCCTGTCTCAAAAAAAAAAAAAAAAAAAAAAAGCATTGGCTCAGCACCTGTGGCTCAAGTGGCTAAGGTGCCAGCCACATACACCTGAGCTGGCGGGTTCAAATTCAGCCCGGGCTGCCAAACAACAATGAACGGCTACAACCAAAAAATAGCCGGGCATTGTGGCAGGCACCTGTGGTCCCAACTACTTGGGAGGCTGAGGCAGGAGACTCACTCGAGCCCAGGAGTTGGAGGTTGCTGTGAGCTGTGATGCCACAGCACTCTACCCAGGGCAACAGCTTAAGGCTCTGTCTCAAAAAAAAATAAAAAAAGAAAGTATCATTTTAGCCCCTGAGAAGACTGCTTTGCTGCACTGAACTTTGATTTTATGTGATGGCCTCTGCTATATTTCTTATAAAGAGATGATACTGATTATATCAGGTGGTAATTCCTTTATCAGAATTCAACAGAAAAATTCCTCTAAGGACCTTAAAGCTTGTATTTTTTTTTTTTTTTTTTT